CACCTCACACATGGCGTTGCCCAGCAACAGGTCGCAAACTGCCAGGTGCCCCAACTTCCCTGTGCCCCCGCATCACCTCCCGATCCTCCTCCTCCTCCTCCTCCTCCTCCTCCTCCTCCTCCTCCTCCTCCTCCTCCTCCTCCTCCTCCTCCTCCTCCTCGTCACCGCCAAGCAGGAGGTAACGTCCGCTCCTCGAGTAGTCGAAACTGTAGGGGCCGAACTCTTCGAGCCTACAGGTGCAATCAGCAAGCGATAGGATGAGGAGGAGGAGGAGGAGGAGGAGGAGGAGGAGGAGGAGGAGGAGAGGCACCTGAGGGTGTAGATCTTCTTAGAGCTTCCGATGTCAACCGCCTGTTTGATGTCCTTCTGCTGAAACCTGTGCGTCTTCTCCATTCCTGCACGTACACAAGTGAGTCCTCCCTTCCTCCTGCTCCTCCTCGTCTTGGTCGCTTCCTCCTCGCGCCGGTGAAGTATCACCTTCAGCTTCGAGGTGTCCTGCTTCAGCCGGCAAGAGAATCTCAGCTCGCGCTGCCTTGGCCGCTGCTTCTCTGATGTCCCTCTCGGATCGCTGCTCCTCCCATCAGCCTCTCCTCCTCCTCTCCTCGTCCGTCACCTTGATCTGCATCTTCAGCTTCTTGTCCTTAATCTTCCGGATCACATTCTTGTCTCCCCTCGAGTACTTGGTCGCTCCCTGCTTTCTGTCAGCTTCTTTCGCCCACCAGCAGCTCTACGCACAGGCCCGCCATCGTCCGACTTCGTCTGTTTGTTCTGCTCAGCTCCGTCATGACTTTTCTTCCTCGCTGACTCGCTCACCTTATCGCCGCTCTTACTCGAGCCATTCGCGTTGCCCCCTGACGTCTGCACCGTTCGTGAGGGGAGGCGGTAGCAGCGCGTCCTTCACCTGTCTCCAGGATCTGATCTCCTCGTCGCCCTCGTCGTCGAGAGTTCGCCTTGCTGGGACTTTCGCGTGTTCCATCCTCTACGTCAAGAGTGACCAAACAAGCGACAACAAACTTACCATACTCCTCCTCCTCCTCCTCCTCCTCCCATTCCTCCTTCACTTAGACACCTCACATGTTCACTTCTTCCATCCTTATCACCTACCTCTATCTTTCCCCTTCGCTCGCTCTCACTCTCACTCTCACTCTCACTCTCACTCTCACTCTCACTCTATTCCTCCCTCCTCCTCCTCCTCCCCTCCCTCCTCCTCCTCCTCCTCCTCCTCCTCCTCCTCCTCCCTCCTTGCTTCTCTTCCCTCACCTTTCGCTTCCTTTCCTTGCCTTCTTTCGCCATGACCGCACGTGCGTTTGAACCCTGAAAACAATCTAACCAACAAAATTTTAAATTTTCATTCAATATGAAATTTCATTGAATATTCCCGAACTTTTGTGCAAGGATTTGGAGAAGAATTACAAGTCTGCCTCAGAGGAGGCAATAAGACAGTGTTTTACTGCCTCTCTGCTCGACCTAATCTTTCTCTGGGGCGGGTTGGATTCAACTATCTGCTTCCTGCAAAAGAAGGTTTGGATATAAAAAAAGCCTTGATGTAAGGCAGGAGTTGGTTGAAGGGAAGGAGTGTCTCATTTTCGATGAATACCTAAAGGTATATATTATGGAAACGTAATAGTAGGAAATGAGACAAATAGGGAATACGTTGAAGGACAGAGAGGGGTTATTGCAGAAGATTTTTAATATTTAAAAAGGCTTGTAGGAGGGCAAGAGTTGGTTGAAGGGAAGGAGAGGACAAAATCGCATGTTACGTTTTAAGATATATATAGGAAGTAGGAAACGTAATAGTCGATTCTGTCCAGTAGTTTGCAAAAGACCAAAGGCATAGTGAAATATGCAAGTGGATAGAGAGAGACGATATGAAAACAGAAGAATACGAAGAATAAGATGATAGACTACTCGAAGGGGGTGATATATACGATAAGGAATAAGGAGGAGGAGAGCATAAGATCATTAGAGTGTGCATTAAGCAATATTTAATGTAGATCTGTATGAAATATAAAAGAGATGAGGATATATATGTATAGAGGATGATAGATCTGAATGATTTACCGGATTGTGCGCAGGAGTTGATATGGGGATACCTAGAGACATGGATAGACGAGATAGAGAGGAAGGCGGAAAAGTTGGAGGAGGAGGTATATGGGTTTAGTTACAATTTCATGAAGAAGAGGGAGCAGAGGAAGAACAGACTTTTGATAGACATACCATTGAGGATATTAGAGAGCAATGGGGTGTTTAGGAGGAGGGGGATGACGAGGGAGAGGGCGAGGGAGGATTTGATAAGGCTGTATGATCTGAAGGAAATATTTTTCAGGATGTATGAGGATGAGGATATGTATTCAGAGTGGTATACAGAATTTGATGAGGACTACGATGAGACATTTAGGAGGACGATACCGGTGTATTTATATATGCGTGATATCTACATATGGTTGAATTTGTTGAGGAAGGACATGGCAAGATATAGGGTGGACATAAGGGTGAATTGGGGGAGATGGAATAGATGTAGGAGGAGGGAGAGGGTTCCGTTAAATATATTCCGTGTGCATGTAGGGAGGAGAGCGAGGGAGGGTGAGGTAGTGAGGAGAGAACCGTTTTTATAAGAGGGGGTGTGACCCACGCCTTTTAGTGGGGAAGTTAAATGACTTAGCCAGGGGATTTGTCCGAAAGTTAATTGACTAAGCCCTGTAGATTTAAAATTTGGAAGAAGGTGAATAAAGGGGATATAAGGAAGGATGAGAAGCGATGTGTGACCCACGCCTTTTAGTCCATGGGGTTCCATAAAATATTGTTGAGAAGGGGTAAAAAAATGTAGATAAAGGGTAAGAGTAGATGTTGAAGTATCATTCACCGGTGAAGACAGGTGTGGTGTCATCACTGTTGGCGATAGAGCCAACGACGGAGTATGTGGATAAGGAGTTGATATCAAGGGTGAGACTGTTTAAGCTGACGAGGGAGGAGTTGAGCCATATATGTGGAGATGAGAGGACATTTGAGATATGCATGAAGCTGATGGGTATGAATAAGAGACAATTGAGTGGATTGTGTAAGAATATAGGTATACTATTTGAGAATGGATCGGACAACTCGAGTGAGATACATAGAAAGATAAATAGGAAGGGGAACTCAACATTATCATTGAGCAGGCTTCCAGTAGATCTGAAGGAGCAAATAATGACGGAGTACAAGAGGATGATGCCACCGAAATTGTTGGATTGGATAGATGCGAAGAGAGATACGAATTTGTTAGGGCTTTTAGAAAATCCGAGTGAGGGTATGATACCAATGATAGAGAAGTATTACCCAAAACATATAGAGAGGTTATTGGAGAAGAGTAAGAATTCATTGTATTATATAGAGGATGCAATAGGAGAGATGATGATGGATGATCTGAATAGAAATCCGAGTGATGCAGCGATAGATTTTTTGGATAGGCATCCGGAGATGATAGTGAATACAGTGTTGATTGGGAACAAGAATGTGAGAAGTTTAGGATTGTTGAAGAAGAAGATAGACAAGAATAGGTATAAGAGGATATATTCACGAATGATAATGCCAGAGACGGGTGTTTTATCGGGATGTATACACGATGAGATATTTGATAAATATTTAGAGAGGGACGAGAGGTATGTAAGTCTAGATCGTTTATCAGGGAATACGAATGATCGAGCGATAAAGATAATAGAGTCATATAGAGATAGGGATTATAAGAAAGGTGAGAATGATAAGGTAGATTGGAGATGGTTATCGAGTAACCCATCGGATGCGGCAGTGAGATTTATGATAAGGAATGAGAGCAAGATAGATTGGAAATATTTAAGTATGAATACGAATACGGAGGCGGTAAGATATTTGTTAAGACGTCCTTTGAGGATTGATAAGAAGGAGTTAAGTATGAATAGGAATGATTTAGCGGTGGATTTTGTTTTAAAGAACGCGAGGTATTTAGATGTGAAATCATTGTGTTGTAATCCGAATGAGAAGGCGGTAGATTGGTTAATAGAGAATAAGGGACACCAGAATATCGATATGAGCAATTTGTCGAGCAATCCAAATCCTCGAGTGATACCCTTATTGTTGGAGAGGAAGTCAGAGATAGATTGGGGTGTTTTGTGTAAGAATCCAATAATATTTGAGTATAGGGATTAGATGAGAGCATGAGAGGGATATGTTGAATTATTTTTGTAGCAGTTCTTGTTTTGCGAAGAGTTGTGGGAAGATGTGGGTATAAAAATGAGTAAGGGATGTAAAGGGGTAGAGTAGTCTGATAAGGTATGTTGAGTGTGAGTGAGTTGGATGTGTCAAGGATAAGTGTAGGGGATTGTAAGGAGAAGGGTGATATGAGGATGATAAAGTTGAGGATGGATGGTAGGAGTATAGATATAGAGACGCCATTTGTAAGAATGGAGAGTGAGGGTAAGAGCGAGGTGGAGTTGGTGTTGAGGGGAGGGGTGAGGGTGGAGAGTGAGTTTAGTGAGAGGATAGAGGAGATAGAGAGGGGGATAATGGAGAGTGTAGAGAGGGAGCGAAGGGGTGATTGGGGTTTAAAGGAGAGGGAGGTGATAGGATCGTTGAGGAGGAGGGGTGAGGATAGAATGATGAGGGTATGGATGAGGAGGGACAAGAGGGGGAATTATAAGTGTAGGGTGAAGGATTTGGATAGGGTGGATATAGATATGAAGGATGTATTAGGGGAGCACAAGGGAAGAGGGTGAAGATGTTGTTGAGATTGTATGGGGTAGTGATGAAGGAGAGGTGGAGTAGGATGATATGGATGTCACGTTTTGTGGGGTTGGAGAGTGGGAGGAGGTATAGGGATAGATTGATAGAGAGGACGTTAGGGGTGATAGACATGATGGGTGAGGAAACGAGTGATACATAAGTGAATAAAGGGATGGAGAATAGAGAGGGGTAGTGAATAAAGTGAATGGAGAAAATATTAAAAGGAGTGAATGAGAGGAATATGGGTGATAAAAAGGCGTGGGTGGAGTGCGTAAGAGATAGAAAATAAAATGTAATGTAAGGAGGTGGTTTGTGTAGGATGACATTAGAGATGAAGAAGGGATCGAGCAATGTGGATATGGAGGCGTTGAAGGCATTGGAGGATAGCATGAGTTTGATAATGAGGGATGGTGAGTATGTAGGGGCGGATGGGTTGACGGTGTATAGATTTAATTACAGGGGGAGGGGTGAGGATGGTTGAGGGTGAATAATTTTTGTGTGCTGTGAAATTTTTGTTAAGGAATATTTTGCAGAGAAGGAGAAGTTTTTGTAATTAGAAGAGGGGGGAAAGGTAGATAGAGAGTGTAGAGTGTGTATAGTGGACAAAGTATGGTCTTTAAATTTAAGTTGTAATGAAATTCGAAATCGATGGGATTTTGCATTTCACTTATGCATTTTTAGTGCTTTTATGCATATTGGTCTTTAAGGTCTTTAATATAAATACTCTGAGAGTGAGAGACTCGCTGCTGCGCTTCTGCTCCAATACCTGTGTATACAAGAAATCGAACGTGAGAGGAGAGAGGAGAGGAGAGGAGAGGAGAGGAGAGGAGAGGAGAGGAGAGGAGAGGAGAGGAGAGGAGAGGAGAGGAGAGGAGAGGAGAGGAGAGGAGAGGAGAGGAGAGGAGAGGAGAGGAGAGGAGGAGGGGTGGGTTGGTGGTGGTAGGGGAGAAGGGAGAGAGACACGCTGACGTCATCCTCATCCTCTTTTTCATTTTCTATCTGTTTGTATCGGCTGGTACTCAAACGCAACAGACTTGGAGCTCTCCAGCAGTGCATGAGCAAATTGACATCGAAGATCCTCGTCGTTCCTGACAGCATCATGAGTTTTCTTCCTCCTCTTCCTCTCTTTCCATCCTCCTCATCCTCAATCTCATCAACTTCACCCCTCCCTCACCTCAGCGCCTTCCTCAGCCTCAGCGACAGCTCTAGCTGCACTGCCGGCAGTCCCATCCTCACCGCCTGCATCGACATCGTGTTGTACCTGCCCCGCAGCCTCAGGGCACGAGGTGGGCACCAGCTGGGGTCACCTCGGCTCGTCCTCGTCCACCCTGCGGTTGATGGAGGAGATGAAGCCCGAGAGCTTCGGGTGGCTGTTGACGGTGAAGCCCGAGGCTGCCGCGAGGTGAGGAAGACAAGCTTGCCCTCTCTTCCTCACCTCCCAACAGCTCCGACAAGGACCTTGACAAGCTCTCTCGCAGTGCGGCAGCTTTGAGTCTGTTCCTCCATCAGCGACAGCTCCCCTGTCTTCCTGCTCGCGTACCTGTCCTGCTCCTTGCCGGAGGAGTACTCCAATGCTCCTACCCCAATGTCGCAATCCGACTGATCGCAACTCCCGTCTGCTCGAGCAATCACATCCCGACGTCCATGCTGCAGGCACCACATCAGTCCCCTCCTTCCCCCTCCCCCTCCCTCACGCCTCTCACCACGTCTACCAGCAGCACTCCATGCCGCCTGTTGCGGAACCGGCGAATATGCCGCAGGCAGAAGCGGTAGAAAGGAACTTCAGCGATGATGTCATCTGTGTCAAGTCACATGCTCCCCTCGCGCTATCTTCACACCACCAGGCACGTAGTTGGGATCCTTGGAGCGACAGCAGCAAGTAGCGCGGCAGCACACAGTCAGGCTCGCCATAGCAACATCGCATCCTCACATGGTTGAACGGCTCGGGTTTCTGCAAGAAACCTGATCGGCTCCTCTCCTGCTCCGACCTGCCCCGTAGTTAGCCAGGCATGAGGAGACTGAAAGCTCAACCAAATGACGAAGGAGGCGTCGACGTCTTGCGCCAGGGTCTGCGCGAGGGTAGACGTGTAGACCTGAACAGAGACTGACGGAGGGCAGACAGAGGCAAGGAAGAGAGGACAGAGAGGAGGTAAAGCGAGGTCTGGCTCACCTCAGCCTTGTGGTCAGCATGCCCAGGTCTATGCAGGAAGATGCCATGGGGAGCGGTGAAGATGAGCTTGGATGGTGTCAGAGAGCGAGGGAGAACGGCCTCCTCTCCTCACCCCACTCGAGCCGTCCGCAGACTCCAGTGCTGTCAGTCTTGCCAGCCGGAGGAGGCAGGAGCTGGTCAGCATGCTCTGTTTGCCGCATCGGAGTAGCAGCAGCTGATTCAGCAGCGTGCTCTCCCCGAGCAGACAATGTCTCGCATCGTGCACCTGGACAGCAGCCTGAGCTCCTCCCCTCCTCCTCCTCCTGCAACCTCATCCACACTCGTGAACAGCGTCAGCATCAAGTCCACCAGCCCGTGTACTCCACATCGCTGCAGCGAGTCTTTAAGGTGCTTGCCCTCTCCCTCGCTGTCGCATGCCGAACTCAAGACGAGCTGAAGCCCCGGCTCGACCTCCCTGCACGCTGACGCGTCAGAACTAGAGGAAGGAGAGGAGAGGGAGCAGGAAACCAGAAGTGAGACATGAAGTAACTCAGCTTCGTCTCCTCGTTTCCCACCTGCACGACCAGGAGGTGAGGGTAGAGCTCTCCAGCATGCCACTCAGTCTGACCTCATACGGCACAAGTGCAAGCAGGGACTCCCTCAAGACCTTCTGCAACTCCTTCTCCTCACTTTCGAGCAACTCGGCAGGCATCAGCAGCAGAGCTCTCATGTCCCCCTCGCACGTCAACCCTAAGCTGCGCACAGTCGACAATATCTGCGTGCGGCTTGTCACTTGCTTCAGACATGTGGAGGGCATACTTGTTGTTCATGCAGGAGTCTTGTCTGATGGCATGTCTCTTGCTCTCCCCTTCTCTCTGTTGCGAAGTTTTCTAGTCTCGTCTGCCACATCCATGAGCACGAGGCACGCAGGCCTATAACTCACCAAGAAGGGCTTGGTGTTCAATGCTAGAGTCCCCATGGCGACGAGCGAGCGGAGAGACTGCGAGCGGAGGAGTTTGGCACCTTTGATCTTGTCGCTGATCAGCACATTGATCAGCGTCGGGATCCCTCGCAGCCGGCACGATCGTGGGATTCGAGCGTGCCATGTAGGCGAAACGATGCACTTGACGAGGCCGAGGTAGCTGCGGAGACCACACTCTCGCAGCTTCTTGAGGACAGCATCTCTGTCGCTCTCTCGGCTCCACTGCGCCCTCACCGCCTCCTCCATCGCCAGCTCCTCCACCTTCCCTCCCTTGTCGCTCTCCAGCATGCCGCTCTACCCGAGCTCTAGCACGGTGAGCTCATATAGCGCTGCGAGGGGGGTGCACTTTACCGTGATAGTAGGGTGAATTGGGGGGTGGTAACCATATAAGGCTAAAGAGGGGTACTACGAATGGATTTAGAGGAGGTGGGGGTGATAAAATAGATGTGGGTGCAGTCGGAGAGAACATGGTGGAAGGAGAGGAGGAGGAGGAGAGGAGGAGGAGGAGGTAGAAGATGGTGGAAGGAGAGGAGGAGGAGGAGGTAGAAGATGGTGGAAGGAGAGGAGGAGGAGGAGGAGGTAGAAGATGGTGGAAGGAGAGGAGGAGGAGGAGGTAGAAGATGGTGGAAGGAGAAGAGGAGTGGGTTTGACTGATACTGCAGGAGATAGCAGACACATTATATCACATTTTAGTTATGACATAGACAGTACAAGAAAGAACCAGAAAACACAGGGATAGGTGGCGATCTAGTATTCAAACATCATGTATCTCTTAGCTGCTGGAAGATATTCCTGACGTTGTCTTCCATTTGGGATGCGATGTTTCTGTTAACAGGGTCTATATCGAAGGTCAGCTTCTTCTGCCTTGAGCTCCATGGCTGCAACGTCATTAGGTTACCAGCTGGGAAACAAGAAAGTGAGACCTCTGGAGCATTGCCCTTCCCGTCTCGTTTGATCGCAGGCAGCACGAGCGGCTTCTCTCCTCCTCGTTCCTTCTGCCATGACTGTCAACCATCGCGACTTTCTCCCATTATCTACACCATCTCAAACTCCTCCACGAACATCCGAAGCTCCCTCATGTTCTTCGCCAGCCTTGCCTGCGCCGCCGCTTCCATCTCATTCCGCGCCAGCTGTACTCCGAGCAGGATCTTCTTGGAGTTGTTCCCGTCAAACGCCTTGCCGCACTCAGCCTTGGAGATGGGAGCCCACGTGGCAGCGAGCGCTCGTTCTGAGCTCACCAACCTCGTCAACTCAGTTCGCTTCCTCTGCTCCGTCACCTCTCGTCCGCATCGTGATGGGCTGCAGCTTCTGTCGGCCGGGTTCCTCTCGATTCCTGGACGTTGACGGATGTCATGACAAGCAAGCAGCAGAGCCGAACTGACAGACCTTCCTGTCCTTCTCTTGCCGTGACGCCGCATGAAGAGGTCGAACTCTTCAGCGAAGTTCCTGTTTCCCCCCAAGTCATTCCGAACTGGCAACGGCTTGTGTGCTCCCGTCGCCTCCCCCTGCTCGACGCCTGTAGCACAACATGTTCAGTCTCGTGCTGCCTGTCGGGCACCCGCAAGTTTGCTACCTGCCTGCCCCATCATCCTCGCGTTGATCTCAAGTTTGTGTAGTTTGGCGGAGCCCTTGAGGCTTTGGAAGGAAGGATGAGCTACCAAGCCTCTGTCTTCCCACACCTTCTCCACTGTTACCCAGGCCTCGTCGATTGCAAAGAGCATCTCGACAGATTCACAGGAACAGATGGCTCGAGCGAACCGACATGAGATGATAACTTACCGATGGTTTCCATCTCCACATTCTGTTTTGACGAATCCTCTACCGATTGTTCAAAGAAAAGTCAAATCCTTCACCACTCGCTACCTCTCACCTTTTCACTGCCTGCCCGCCTGTCACTGTCGTTGTTTCTCTCTTACACTCATCTACTCACTTGCACACTCTCTGTCTCTCTGTCTCTCTGTCTCTGTCTCTGTCTCTCTCTCTCTCTCCCCCCCCCCTACGCATTGATTTCAACCGCCTTAGCACTCCAAAAATTGTTTTGATACTACCCCCCTTTTGTGACAATGATGGGGTACCTTCAATACCCTACCCACACATCACCATATTTTTCTTTCTCTCCATGTGTCTCAGAACGGGTACTTGACAATGATAACCCCTACCATAAACACCCCCTACCCCCTTCAAATATTGATACCCTCATCCCCCTTGCATGTCTCTTCCTGCACCTTTGTTTCAAGCTTCATTTTTCGCTGCCCGACATGCTGTCCCAATGAGCTGCTTCAGCCGCCTCCTCGCCCGGTACCTCCCTTCAAGTCTCATCTCCCTCCTCCTCCTCCTCCTCCTCCTCCTCTCTCATACTCAAGCTCCTGTTCCTGCTCCTGCTTCTGCTCTTCCTCCCTACCTCCCTCCCTCCCCTCCCCACTCTCCCTCCCTCTCTCCCTCCCCTCGTCTTGCTCCTGCTCCTGCTCTACATGCCCGTGCTTCTGCTCCTGTTTTTCGTACACTAGGGCTTGAGCCGCAGTCACTTCCCCCCACCCCTCAACTCCAATCAGCTGACGATCCTGTCGCAGATGCCTTGGGCATGACACGAAGCAGGACTCGACTACATCATCGCATCCCCAGCAGCAGCAGGGCCCTGGGAACAGGAAGTATGATGGGGCCTTGGGCTTCAAGAGGAATGCCAGGCCGGAACCCCAGGGTCCTCCTCCTCCGGTTCCCCCCCACGAGCGATGCTGCCTTGATGGGCCGGGGATAGCAGAGGTAGCAGGCTTCGCAGGCAAGCGCACCTACTTTGCCATCGCGTGCATGAAGGAGGATGGAGGGCTCGACTCCTTTGTCAAGGACAACCTGATCGTAGAGATCAGCGGGCCCGCGACTCTCGTGCCAACCATCACGAGAAGTCAGCTGGGAGCCAAGGTGAGCTACACGGCCAGGAAGGCAGGCTCCTACACCGTCTCGATCCAATACTTCGCGGGGGAGGTGCCAGGGAGCCCGTACAAGATCGAGATCCTTCCCGGTAAGATCGACGCGTCGCACTCCACAATAGAGCATGCGAGCGGGCTAGTGCAGGGCGTGCTTGTGGTGCCTCTCTTCATGGAGTGCAGGATCAGAGTGGTCTCGAGAGACTCTTGCGACAACGAGAGGAGAAGCGGCGGGATGATCGAAGGCTTCAACGTCAAGACCCAACTGCTGGCCGAGGACGTGGAGAGCGAGTCCTACGCCACGAGGATGGAGAACGAGGACAAGGCATGGCGAGTGGCCTGCGCTCGACCTGATATGGTCGGTCCTCTCCGCAAGAAGCGCTTTGGAGGCTTCACGGGGTGGGAAGCGCTTCACTGCTGCCTCGCAGGGGACGCGTTCTTCTACTCCCTCTCTCCCTCCGATGTGCAGCCTCGGGGGGTTCTCTACCTGGAGGGGTCGCAAGTGCGAGACCTCGGTCGCGCCTGCTTCGAAGTCTTCGTGCCCCTCGCCTACAGCAGGGCCAACGTAGTGAAGGAGCGGCAGGTGAACCGCGTCTTCACGTTCAAAGCTGAGAGCCAGAGCTCGGCGACTCGGTGGATGGAGGCGATCAGGTCGGCGAAGCCGCTGGAGGAGGAGGAGCTGCTGGAGGCAAGAGACGGGCACGTAGAGGGAAGAGGGTTCGACGCTGAGGACATCGCGAAGTTGAGGGAAGCTATCCAGCAAAGCGAGCTGACAGCTGTAAAACAGCTGGAGTTTGAGAAGCAGGTGATGAGAGAGCGGGAGGAGCGAGGATGGAAGAGAAGAATGGAGGTGGAAGGCGAAGACGACTCCATCGATGCCGATTATGTTCACGTCGAGATGCCATCAGCCGCCAAGGCTGGGAAGCCGGAGCAAGCACTCCGAGACGAGGAGGAGGCGGAGGATCGACCGGCAGCGTCAGAGAAGCTAACAAGCAAGCAAGCGAGAGTCCAAGCCGCCATGAGGAACACGGCTCTCACCCCGCAAGAGCGGCAGAGGAAGATCCAAGAGATCATGCGCGAGCCCGCGCCGGAGGCTGTCGGGGAAGAGAAGAAGGAAGGAGAGGAAGGAGCTTCGAAGCAGGAGCGAGTCAGGCGGCTGATGCAGGATACATCTCTGACCCCCCAAGAGCGGCAGAAGCGAATCCAACAAGTGATGAGCGAGAAGGCGAAGGGCAGGCCCGAGGAAGCAGGTCCCCTCCCTGCCACCTACCGCACACCACCCCACCCTACCCCTCCCTACCTCTTGTTCTCTTCTTCCTTCCTCCCCTCCTCCCCTCCTTCTCCCTCATCCTGCCCCTGCAGACGAGGAGTCCAAGCAGAAGCTCCGCGAAGCCCAGAAGCGGGTGAAGGCGCTGCTGGCAGCCGGGAAGGCTGAGGTAGAGGAAGTCGAGGAGAGAGAGATCGAAGGAAAAGGGAGAGGAGGAGGGGATGGGCGAAGGTCTGACATGGGGCTGCTCAGCTCGGAGCCATCACGACAGTGTCAGCAGAGGAAACCAAGCTTGCAGACGATCGTCCGGTCGAGGTTCGAATCGTCCTTGGAGACGACATGACTGGGGTGAGGGCCAAAGCAGGAGCAGGAGCAGGAGCAGGAGCAGGAGCAGGAGCAGGAGCAGGAGCAGGAGCAGGAGCAGGAGCAGGAGCAGGAGCAGGAGCAGGAGCAGGAGCAGGAGCAGGAGCAGGAGCAGGAGCAGGAGCAGGAGCAGGAGCAGGAGCAGGAGCAGGAGCAGTATCAAGGAGTGGAAGAGCCTGACTGTTTGAGTAGGACGTGGGGGAGGAGGATGTGATTGACCTGGGAGTATTGCCATGCTCATCGACTTTGAGAGAGGTAGCTCGCACGTTTTCGCCTCTTCCTCACGTGTGGCAGGTCAAGGCCGCGTGCTCCTACTACCTCGACGAGAACAGGATGCAGCGACTGACGCCGGTGGCTCCAGCAGCCCCTGACGGTCTTCGCGCCTGACGTGAGAGGGCAGGAGCGGACAAGCCTCGTCTCCACCAGCTCAGGGCGGCTGCTGCAAAGTGAAGCTGCTGCTGTTCGCCGCTCCGCTTGACGAGACGGCAGATGAGGATGCGATCTTAGCCACTATCGACCACCAGGACCCCACCATCTCCCTGATTCTCGTGCCCCGGGGGCTTGAAGGAACCGGTCTTGCATCCCTGTTGTCTTGCTGGCCTCACGCTCAGCAGTTCAAGGATCCATCCATGCCCAGCATGAGATCGCCAAGGCGCAAGAGGTGAGGAGGCAGAAAGCGACGCCAAACCTCACGCGACCTCAGAGAGAACGAGAGCTGGAGGATGAACTTGAGCAGGACGAGCCTTCCGACGTGGAGGAGTACATCCCTGTATGAGGAGGAGGAGGAGGAGGAGGAGGAGGATAAAGATGTGCAAGAAGGTCTGATGTGATGGCAGGAGGAGGCGGATGCCGCATGCAGAATGTTGGTGGAGGACAACTCGGACGGGAGCTACTGGTTGACCTTCAGGTGCCTGCTGGAGCTGCTGAGCGAGTCTGACGGCTGACGGGCCTCAAGTTTCGTGGCCCGAGGAGTTTTCAAGGCGCAGGTGACCTACAGGGGCAGTCCGTTGAAGCAAGCGTCGTTCCAGGTGAGGAGAGCAGGGGGTTTGAAGCACGGCCACATCCACGGCCAGATGGAGGGGCAAGGGCAAGGGCAGGGGGAGGGGGAGGGGAAGGAGAAGGAACAGGAACTGGAGCAGCAGGTCCAGGGGCAGGAGGAGGAGGAAGAGCAGCAGCAGGAGTAGGCAACTGAATAGCTTGCAGGTGATCGTGCTCAAGCCCAACGTCTTCACCCGGTTGAGAGCGACGCTGAACCCCAACACTTCCAAGAAGAGTTCAACGGTGACTCTCCTCCTCGACTCCTACTCCTACCCCATCCCCCTCGCTCCCTGTAGGTTTGAAGGAGTCGCAGGCGACCAGCGCAACCTCAGGCTTGATCGACTTCCCTGCCACTTGGCTGAGCGAGACGGAGGAGGTGAACGCTCTTTGCTCCTCCTCCTCTTACTTCATCGCAGTGGGTGGATGTCGAGCTCAGGTTTGCTCATCGCCAGCTGGTCGTTTACAAGGGAGGAGGCCTCGTTCAAGCGCTGACAGGTCAAACCTTCTCTCGCCCCCATTCCTCCTCCTCCTCCACCACCACCACCACCTCTTTCCTCCTTCCCCATCACCTCCACCAAGCTCACTCTCGCGGAAGTTTCTCATCGTGTTTATCGCTCAGGCTTGAAGCTCTTTCACTCCCGCCTCTTCTCCTTCCCCATCAAGAGGAACGTTCGCTTCGATCCGCTTCCTGGCGGCCCTAGGGTTTCTCAGCCCCTCCAGCCCTCCCCTCCTCCCCTCACATGTCCTCAGGTCGCCATCTCTGACGGCTCGGGACATCAGCTGGTCTTCAGCACGCCAGATAGAATGATAGTGCAGGTAAACCCCCTCCCCTCCCCTCCCTTCCCCTCTCCTCCCCTCCCCTCTCCTCCCCTCTCCTCCCCTCCCTTCCCCTCCCCTCCCCTCCCCTCCCCTCCCCTCCCCTCTCCTCTCCTCCCTCGCTCCCTCCCTCCTTTCGCTTCTCCTTCCTTTGTCCCTCGTCATGTGCCAGCAGGCTTCCTTCTACCTCCTCCTGCAGTCGCGCATCGCGGGCATGGGAGAATCTTTCAGCGAGAGGAAGCGAAAGTTCGATCGATCGCTCAAGGCGCAGCGACCGGCAACTCGAGGAGCTCAAGTGCTGCGGGTGAGAAGAGGAATTGAGAGGAGAGACGCGACGGCAGCAGCAGCAGCGCGAGGGGATGACAAGGGAGCAGGTTCGGAGGAACAGGCTTGTGGAGGATGCGTTCAACTCGATGGGAAGCAAGGAGTCGTCTGCTTGGACTCAGGTATGTCGGTTGCTTGCGAGGAGGCGAAGTGAATGCAAAAACAGGAGTGGCAAATCAGATTCGAGGGGGAAGCAGGCGAGCGAGATGAGAGGAGGAGAAAACACTGACAGGATGCGCAGGAGTTGACTGGGGAGGACTGCAACGAGAGTTCTTCACGGTGAGGAGAGAAGAGGAGGAGGCGAGGGGTGGGATGGCTCAAGGAGGAGCAGGTGCTCGGGAGGGAGCTCTTCGACTGCAAGCGCGAGGTAGAGGGGAAGAAGTTGTTTGTGCGGATGGGGAGCGATAGCGGCGTGCTGGTGCACCTGAACGAGGAGGCGAGAGCTGAACGTCAGGTGGAGTTGCTTGCTGACAGCTGAGAAACTGACAAGGCCTGCTGGGGATCAGCTCATGTACTTCAACTTCGCGGGGAAGGTGATGGGGAAGTGCCTGTACGACGCGGCGGTGCTCGGATCTCATCACCTTCTGTCCGTGCACATGGCAAGGAGCCTCATCAAGGTAGCGAGCAAGAGAAACGTGAGAGTGTCGCTGACTCGTCGCGTCTCGTCGTAGGCGATTCTTGGTCTGCCGGTTTCGTTTCAAGACTTTGAGACCGATGACCCTCAGCTTTTCAAGAGCAAAGTGATGGGAGGAGGAGGAGGAGGAGGAGGAGGAGGAGGAGGAGGTGGTGGTGGTGGTGGTGGTGGTGGTGGTGGTGGTGTGTGGGGGGGCGGGGGTTGGCTGCGAAGGTTGAAGAGCGCGGCAGGTTCAGTTCATGATCGACAACTCCATCGATGAGGCGGGCCTAGACCTTCACTTTGTCGAGGAGACTTACAGCAAGACCGGATCGGTCTCTTATCAGCCTCCCTTTACCAACCTGCTCCTCCTCCTCCTCCTCCTCGCCCTCCTCCTACTCCTCTTCCTACTCCTACTCCCCACTCCTCCTGCCTTCTGGTTTCTGACCTTCTAGCAGCTGTTGCGGTCTGTGGAACTATTGCCAGGAGGAAGCAAGGTGGTGTTCACGTTCCCCTACCCTCCTCCGCATTACTATCATCGTTGCCGTCATCATCATCACGATCATCACCATCACCTCTACTACACACTGCACCTCCCCCTTCTCTTCCTCCTCTTCCTCCTCTCCCCCCTCGTCCATCGTTTCCAACTCGATATCCAGGTGCCTGTCAACGATGCTAACAAGAGGCGGTACCTGCGCTTGCTCGCCCTTCATCGCCTGGCCCTACTTCCGCAGCCTTGGAAAACACAAGAAGCTGCTCCTCAGGTGCTCAAGTCTGCGAGGAGGAGCAGGAGGAGGGCAGGAGGAGGTTACGACTTTTTAGATTCGAGCGCTGGTAGAAGGGTTCTACTCGATCATCCCCGAAGAGCTGCTGGAGCCTTTTGATGAGAACGAGCTCGAGCTCATGCTCTGCGGCACTCCCGAGGTCATTGCCCACCTCCTCGTCCTCGTTCTCCACCACCACCATCACATCTCGCCCTTCTATTCTCATAATCTTCCTGTCGCAGGTATCGGTCGAGGATCTCAAGCGTAACACGCAGTATCCGAGGATGACGAACCCGCTAGGAGTGCCTGTCATCCAGGTACGGAAGGAAGAGGGAGAAGGAGGAGTAGAGGCTTCCAGTACTCACTCGCTGCATGCAGTGGTTCTGGCAATGCGTTGAGAACATGTCAAACGAGGATCGAGCTCGACTGCTGCAGTTCGTCACAGGTTCCTCTCAGGTCAGTGAAGGAGAGAGGAGGGGGGACAAGCTTGGCAGGAGGAGGAGGAGTGAGATGGTGAGGAATGACTTTCTTGACTTTCTCGTCCCAGGTCCCTTCCGGGGGGTTTCAAACGTTGGAGCCCAAGTTCAACGTCCAGCTCAACTTCGCTCCTCCTTCTCATCTCCCGGTCTCTCACACCTGCTTCAACACCATCGAGCTCCCCGACTACCGCTCCTTCGAGCAGCTTCAGGATCGTCTGGCCCTCGCCCTCAAGGAAGGAGCGGAAGGCTTCGGAGAGGCTTGAGCCCTTGGCACTATGAGTCTCATGAGGATGTACGATAACCAGGAAGAGAACAAGCGGGGGAGGAAAGGAGGAGTCGAGGCAGGAAAGAAAGAGAGCAAACGTATCTAACTCTTCCTCCTCCTCCTCTTCTTCTTCGACAAGCTCTCGTCTAAGTTGTCAATGGCGCCGTCCATGCTCCTCAGCCCCTCTCGCATCATGCTTCCTACTGGGCTCTTGCTCACTGCCCCCGTCACCTCCCCTGACGCCTCCCAGAGCACGTTCGCTGCCCTCGCCGCTGTCCGCACAGTCTCTCCAGCCATGTTGTCCTTCTTGGAGAACATGGCTGAGCCGACTGCTCCTGCCAGCGCGCCCACAGGACCAGCAGCCATGAAGCCGAGTAGCGCTCCGACGCCTGAAAGAAGAGGCTGAGAATGAGGACGTAGAGAGGAAGCAAGTCACCTGCTGTCTCCTTCACTCCTACCGTCGCCTTCTTCCTGCCCTCTTTGCTTCTCCTGCTCCCGTACACGCGCTGCTCCGACATCCTCCTCCTCCTCATACCTGACGCCACGTTCAGCTCCGCGTCTGCGATGGCCAACGGAGCAAGAAAGGGAGATCGCTGGGTCGCTGATCCCTCGTCCGCCGACATGAGAGGACGCATGTTCCGCTTGCTGCTCACGGCCAGCACATGCTTGCGAGGTGTAATGCTGCCTGTGAAGGCCTCGATGCCAGCGAGACAGGCGACAAGCAGGACGAGCATTACAGACTTCATAGCCCCGGTGCTGGTAGCGATGGGAAACTTGAGGAGCGGCACTGAACAAAAGCAGAACCTTGTCAGTGAGAACCAAGAAGGGGAAGGGAGACGAGGAGGGAGAGGGTGGTGCCGTTTGGGCGGCCCCCTCTCCACCTCTCTTCGCAGAACCTGAGCCCCTGCCAACGTCCCTCTCCTCTCCCATCCCTGCACATCTCCCCCGGCCATTTCAAACCTCTTGTTCCTGTCCTGATCCTTCTTCTCTTCCTTTTCTCCTTCTCTTCTCATCTCCTTCTCCTTCTCATCTCCTTCTCCTTCTCTTCTCCTTCTCCTTCTCTTCTCCTTCTCCTTCTCTTCTCCTTCTCCTTCTCTTCCATTTCCCCCATCTCCTCCATTGCCCCGCATCCCCTACCTGCTCCACCAACAATCAGAAAACCTGCAGAAAACTGCTTTACCGTCAAGGCAGCAACTACGCCAAGCAGTCAGCAGCTCCTTGAAGCTCCGCGAGACCTCGCGCCACATCTCACCTCCTTAGAGCGGGTGGAAGCAAGGGAAGGAGGGAGAGGGGTGAGCGAAAGGAGTGAGAGGAAGCAGAGAGGGAGGAGAGAGATGAAGATATATTTTTGTGTTTTCATTATTATGTCAGAGGCAACCTTGGCATACAAATACAAATATCGACCATGTAGGTGTCTTCTAGCAAGCGCTTGACATCAGCTCACTTTTGCCGTGCGCGTACGTGCAGTTGTCACCGTAGGGACACTTGCCTTTGAGAGCGAAGGTCTTGCACAGACGCGTCTTGAAGTGACGAGTGTCCGACGGTGCGCGACCTCCTGAGCGAAGTTCTTCCTTGCCATGTGCGAAGTTGCACTTGTCGCCAAACCCGCAGAATCCGTGTGCCTCGAAGTTCTTGCACATTTGAGTCTTATAGTTGCGAGCGGCGGTGGCAGCTCCTGTGGGTGCACACTCTTGCTTGCGAGCAGCAGGACGAGCAGACACAGACGCTTCGACAACAGACGGACTGACAGTCCTCAACTCGCCATCTCCGTGAGCAAAGTTGCATCGATCACCAAAGCGACAGAAGCCTGTTTCCTTCCAGTTCTTGCATATTCTAGTCTTCACGAAAATCTCAGCCTGGCGTTGTCGCTGTTCAGCTGCAATCTTGTTCATACTGTTGGTAATGTTTCCGTCGCATTCTCTGCCGCCTTCTCTGTGTTTCATTGGCAACGCCCACAAGAAGAGCTCGGCAGCCTCGTCCAGGAGAGAAGCATCGTCGTCCTCTTCCGACGAGTAATCTTCATGAAGTCTGAACATTTCAGTCTCATCAACATCATCGCTGTCGTACTCAAGCAGTGGGCAGTCCGAGACCTCGCTCTCGGTTCCCTCTTCCAAAGGCGGGAGGTCAGAGTCGTTGTCGCTCGAGTACGCATCACTTGAGCTCTGATCAGCCCAGGAGAGGTTCTTCTTCTCTCTCTCTCTGTGAAGCTGCTGCTGAACGAGATCCGGCTTCACTTGGTGTCTCAGAAACTCAACAACTGTCTCTCGAACCCCTCGGCTTGCAAACCCGGAGGAAAGTGGAACGTCTAGTGCTTCAAGGAATCTTGCAACCTGTTCCTTGCAAGCCGGCGAAGGGATATTTGCCAACAAGTTCAGCTCCTCATCTTGGAAGAAATACAGGAATGGCAGTCCACCCTCAATGGTTCCCAGCTTTGGGGTTGGAGCAATGCACAGTTCCAAAGCCAACTCCAACTCTACCAGGAAGGTGCTGACGAAATCGACGTTGTCTGATGGTTGAAGACGAATCAGTTGCTCGATTGTCTCTGCCTTGGCTCCATTCAAACTGTGAAGTGCATTGATCACATGCACTGCGTCTCCATGCTCACACATTTGCAAGCACTTGTCCAATTGTTCCCGAACCATCTGGTCCTCCACAACAGACACCTCACCCACAGTTGATATGCTCATTTATAGACTCTGATGATCAAGAAAAGTCGATGACACAGATCCTTGAGGGCTCCTGCGTCACTGAGATGACTTCACGGGAAGATGCGAACTGTGACCCACGAAGAGCCGTCACAGAAACCAAGTGTCAACTATCAAGTTTCAGAGCGACTAAATGCGCCGCAGCTGAGATGCAGGTGAGAGAAGAGTGAGAGAAGGTACTTGAGCAGGAGGAGGGAGAGGGAAGGAGACGTCAAGACACGGAGCGCGAGGGTCAAGCAGCTGCGATCTGATGCCTCGGCTGCTATGCTGCCGCTAATGCCCTCCTGCTCTATTTCTGGTCCTAAAAAAAGGTTTTACTCAAATATCACCCACCCCGTACTAGAACAGGCTGACTTCACCCTACCCCGTGTCTCACTACCCTACCCTGGACATATCAATTCTCAACTTGAAATACTCCTTACAGTACCCCTTACCTTTACCTGTCGGTCCCCTGTATGTCAGCACACCCTCAAACCCCTTCGAATACCACCCCACCCTTTGTATGCTACCCCACCCCATATGATCATGGAGTCCAATGCCAGGATTAGAGCCGTTTGGATCTTGTGCTGTATGAGGGATAGAGAACGAGGGCGATGAAATGGCACCCGAAATAGCCTCAGCACTTGACTCATACCGTACCAGGCTCACTGAGGCGAGTCCAGACCGTGAGAGTCGGACCGGCTCAGAGTCAGTCGGATCATGATTATGGAGTCTCGGCCGCCCGCAACCGGGGCCCGGCCCGGGGGGCGGGCCGGGCCCCGGCGCGGGGCCCTTACTCACAACGCCGCCGGATGGCCCGGCCCGGCACTCCCGGCCGCGGAGTCTCGGCCCCGGCGTCCCGGCGGCCGCGGGAGTCAGCGGCTACTAGCGGCTGTCCCGGCTACTAGCGGCTGTCCCGGTTTTATTTCTTTCACACACACACACAAAACAAGACAAGACGATACACACAAAGACGTCTCAACAATCGTGGCACACACACGAAAGGGGAAGAGGACCACCTAGCTCTGACGAGTTTCATCCTTTTTTAGTGCTGGTTCTTTCCGGGCTTGTGTTTTGTGTGTGATTGTGCAGCTTCTCGCTGTGCGCTGTGTGCCTGGAGGTTTAGCTTGTTCCTGCTTTGTTTTGCTTGAGGCACTTTTTACCTTCTGCCAGTAACGGTAAATCCATTAGCCCTTTTATAGCCTTCGAGGCCCTATCAAGGACCTCTCTGAGTTCTGGCACTGTCACGTGAGAGGACTGGTCTACGACAATTGAATATACCGCGTACACGAGTTGGAACTTCGTCTCAGCGCTGCTGGAGGTCTGGGAGCTGACGATGAGGCTGATGTCCACTTGTAGTGCTTGATCTAGACGACTTACCGAAAAGCAGTGATTGTGTATAGCTGACAGCTTGATGGTCCTGAACGAGAAGCTGGTGCACACGATTTGCTTAATGATGTACATCGCACGGAACGAGAATATGCCTTGGACGGACTG